TTAAAGAACTTCAAAGTAAAAGTATGTTTCTTTGTTGGTTTTTATGATGCCTAATTTCTGAAAGACATAAAAGCTGTGTGTCAGAGATTTATATAGAGAGTAGAACTAACTAATCTCAATATATAAACATGTACAAAGTTAAACAAATCAACTAGTACTTAGTAGATAAATTGAGGAGAAATGCATTGACCTTAGTGCAAAAGTGGAGAGTATCCTCATTAAGATTCACCTTTCCTGGAAATCATGAGTGAATTTTGTCTGTGAATCCCCCTAGGAAAAGAGACTTCTCCCAACGGGCAGTTAAAATACAGACCATAAAATTTTCATAATGCACTGGCAATTTCTGACCAGTTTCACATACTATATACTGCTAAAATTAAGTCAGCACAGTTCTGCAGAATACTAAAGTATTAAAAGACTGTGGAAACTCTGATGCCACCTAGTAAAAATACCTTAAAGGATGATTTAAATTTAGTTCCTGAGCTGCATGTTAATACTGAACAGGATACTATACACAGAAACTGTCTGATTTTTATCCTTTTTCTGTGGAGGAAAATCCTATCTGTATGTGTAGCTTTGATTACTTTTACTTGCGCTTCTGTTAGGAAAAGTACCTATTCATCTTGAGATGTGGCATCTTGAGCTGTGGCTTCCCTGGGTTCACTTCCACTATATAGTGTGTTACTTTCTTATTTTGCCCAATTATTCTTGAGGGAATGTGACATATAATATGGCAGCTTCATTTCAGTTTGTTTTCTAGATCGCAAACCTACCCTGCCCATCTGAATCCTAATCAGATTTATAGACGGAGGCCATCCAGAATTTTATGAAAACTGATTACCTCTGATTAAAACCTGTGCTTTCAGGTCTTAGAGAACAAGTTCATATTTGCAATCAGCAGGCCTAACATTAAATAGTGTCTGCTTTTATTTGTACAGAGCACTACAGTATGTAAACAGATACCGTGAGCCATTGATATTTTGCAACACTGTTATGCTCAATGCTCCACTCCCGCATCATTATATCATTCATAGAAATGTGTTAAAAGAATGCAGAGCAATAAATATATAAGGTCTTTACACTTCCTCTGACTCTCTACTGTGAGGAATTTAATTGGAAAACTGAGATTGATATAGAAATTAATTATGAGAACTTAAAATAACATGACTTTGAAAAATGGGCCTGAAAAATTACAAATTTTATGACAATTTAATTTGCTTGTAAACATTGAATATGGAGTAGGAAATGTTCATGGCATGCAAGCTTTAATGGAGTACTATTAGGGTAGAAGTAGGTACTTTGGTCACTTAAAATATTACTGTCAAATTACCCAGGATCTATAGATGATTATAGAACATGTATACATTTTTGATAAATCCAATTTTGAACTTTGGGAAGTAAATAACTGTTTTATCAGTAAGTATAAAGTCCAGCCTGTTGTCTTAATGGCCTAAATATTCATAAAATATTTTTCACATTTTGTATTTCCCATATCCTTGGTCAGGAAGAAAGGGAAATGTTAACTTTAATATCCTATTATATATAAATGTTAACTTTAATATCCTATTAACCTGACCCTAAGGACTGAATGATGAATTCTAGGTTGTTGTTGATTAGAAACATAATGTTCCAAAGGCCCAGACAGACCATTGAAAAGCATACTGGACCTCTTTTATTACAGTAGCCTTTTCTAACCATCTTTTTGTTTGTTTGTTTTTTGGTTTTTTTATTGTAGATTGAAAATGAACTGACTAGCAATTTAAAGTTTGGTCCTAGGCACTCAGCCTTGGTGAATGCTTCCAAGTGGATATGATGACATTAATTATAAAACTTGGCACCGTCCACCAGGGATATAGTCTTGGTATTCCAGTTTAAGCCCTGGCTTCCACCAGAACAGTGACAGTCATGGCCCAATTGGCTTGGTAAAGAAAGTTACTTCTCTGTGTGAGCAGCTGTAACTCTGGTTGTAGACCAAAGGGACGGGTAGCAATATAATGGAGTTGTGGATTCTTCTTGTTGACTTTGTGTCTAGAGAGATTTTCTTTCATTAGCTATAATGTCAGTACTAAAAATAAATATAGGACATTTAGTAGAAAACCCAGAACTGCTTGTGTTCATCTACTTGTAAAAATATTCCAGTGCTACAGGAAGTTCCTTGCTTCATTTCTAGTCCTGTTTAATACTTTATTTTCTTGTTGTTTATACTGCATTTTTTACTTTCCATATGAAATAAAATAGTATTTGAGAAAATTTAACATTAAGTGAAAGTTTTATTGTTTTTCCTTGCTATTTTTGATTCACTTGGGATTACAAATTTATGCCACTGAGACTAGAGAGATGGCTCAGCAGTTTAGACCACTGGTTGCTCTTGCAGAGGACCTGGGTTATATTCCCAATGCCCACATGACTACTAACAACTGTTCTTAACTCCAGTTCCAGGGAATGCCCTCTTCTATCCCTCTTCTAACCTCTGTGGGCATTGCACAACACGAGTGTAGTTATGTACATACAGGAAGTACACTCATACACATAAAATAAAAGTAATAAATAAAACCTTTAAAAAAGTATACGCACACAAAAAAATGTATTCCATTGACCTTGTTATGTGAATTGTTTGAGATTGCTGCCTTTACATGGAAAAAAATGCTTAACATTTGAAAATGAAATAGGCTGCAGCAGTAGTAGTCCAGCCACAAGGTAAAAACCAGCCTACCCCATTTTCCTTTAATGGTTTTACATTTATTTATTATTTATTCATGCATTGTGTGTGTGTGTGTGTGTGTGTGTGTGTGTGTGTGTGTGTGTGTGTGTTTACGTATGCCATACCCTGGTGGTGAAAGTCTGAAAGTCGGAGGACAAATTTACAGTTGGTTCTCTTTTGATGTATACAGGTCCCAGGAACTGACCTCCTCGAATTTGATTGCAGGAGCTATCTCACTGATCCATCACCTGTATTTGGAATACAGCTTTGGCTGCTTTCATACTGTGGCCAAAGCAGGCTCATCCTCAAACTTGAAGATACTTGGCTATATATTCAGAAAATTTCCTGAGGGTTTTTTTTTTTTTAATTTGTATGTTAAAATGGAAAAATGTGTATCTTAAATATTTGAGGATTTTTAAAGTTGGCAATATCGGCCAGGATTACTTCTTGTTTGATTTGGGATTAAAGTGAGAATCATTAAATGTGTGCCATTTTATTCATATTTTGTTACATGCAAGAGTTTACCAGGAAAAGACACTCTCTTGTAATTTTGTATTGATATTTTTAAGGATGTGAATATTAGTCGTATCTTTATTGAAACAAAGCCAGTATTTTAAGTGTTCTTATTTATAAGTTATTTATTTATATTCTTTTAAAAGTAATAC